AAACTTTATCATCAATATTTTGACCAACATTTAAAAATATTCGATGAAGACATTGAGGAATTAAACCAGGTTCTTGTGCTGTACCAAACATTGTATGAGTTTTACCTAGAATATACTTGATAATTTATAACAATTGCGGAATAATATATTTACCGCTATTCGTTAGACCAAGTGTACAAAGCAACCAATTTGAACCTGTAAAGATTTCATTGGTTGGTTGCTCAAGAATTTGTTCAAATAATTCTTTTTGTGTACAACTATCATCAAATATTCGAGATACCTTTAAATAAAAATCATAATTATGTTTACTATTTCGACTGAGAATTAATAGCAGTATTAGAAATCAATGAATTCACTTGCTTTAAATAGGAAAACATACCTCATATTCATTGTATGATGCTTGTATATTACGAATAGTATTATTAATTGTTGGATAGACTTTAACAGCAATATGGTTGTCATTAATAATGTCAAGTAGTTTTTGATTTTCACTACGTTCAAGTTCGTCACCGATAAATGGACGAATACGTACATATACATTCAATGGGGGATCACGACGTTTAGTTACTGTTGTTGTATCATTTATCATTGATGTAATCCCTGTTTCTGTTGTATCCATTTTATGAAACAACTTATCTGACAAAAACAATTCTATTGAAAAATAGATTGTTTTAAAAGACAAAGAAGATTATTCTAATGATGTAGTATTGATGATTAAGGTGATTTTATATTGGTTATTTGATTTAGTTGCGAACAAAGGATAATACTTTAAACGTAAGTATAGAATTTTGAAAAATAAGAATCTGTGAATTTCTTTATTTGATATTAGAGATTGAATATAAAATGTTAAATTATCTAGTAAAAAATTTTATTTTACCTTACAGATGTCGTTAATGTTCATCAATAAAATAGTTTTCTACTATATAATTAAATAATTGTTCTTTGCTGATAAAGTTTCATAATGTTTCATAAATGAATAGACCTATTTACGTGCAGGTTCAGGATGAAATTCAAAAACAAAATATTTTCGTCAAAATCAATGATCACGTCGATAAATCATGTTTTGATAATGAGAATCCATTTTCTCTCAAGAGTAGTGTGTCTATTAACACACTTAGAATGAGAAAATGAAACGTAAGTTGCATATCATTCAATACTCTACATTCAATATAAATCTAAGTGTTCTATAGATGTTTTTATAGGGTCTTTGATGTTATCGTTAAGAATAAAAATATTACATCAAGAAAGATCGAAGCTAATCGCTAATAATCAGATGCAGAAATACTGATAGTTTGTTATGTGCATCTTTTTTATTTTTTTCAGAATAATATTTAAGATAACTAGAGAAAATTAAAAGCCTGCATGTGAAAGTTATAATGTCTTATTCATAGTACAATGCATAGACTTTTGTCTTTTCAATAATTTGTATTAGTTTAAAAAAAAAATTCTCACTGAATGGTGAAATCATAAATATTAGAATTATTTTAGAACTTCAATGACATCTTGTTGATACAAATACTAGAATACTGACTTCGAACCTTTTTCTTCGGAGCAGCTGCAAGGCGTGTTTCCATTTATTGTAAGGAAAAGCATGATATAAGAGAGAAATAGTCAGAGATCAGTAAAAAAAAATGAATCGTATCTAGCAACTGTCTTTGAGAATGATCTAGGTGCTTCTATGATATTGTTTAAATGAGTTTTGAAAGTCAGTGAATAATATAATGATCAAATTGAGCAGAGCAATGCGTCTGTTTTGCTAGAACATGGATATAAAGTCAACATTTTGTTGTCTTCTCAATGTTAATCAACGATAAATTAATATTACTCAAAAATGTAATCAATTTTATTTTCATGATAAATATATCCATATTCAATATTCAAATTCATTTTTTTATTAAAAATAAATTTATATTTAAGATTTTGTTTATAATAATTGAGGAAGAATCTATGCAGTTGGACCATGAAAATGATAACTAAAATAAAGTTTTAAAAAGAAGAAAAGAAACTCACAACTAAAACTAAATCACATAATTAAATTTCTTTATCAATTTTTTTGTAAAACATCATTCCATATTTGTTCACCAAACTAAACTATATGATGATGCAGAGAGTGTGGATGTGGGCAAAGGTGTAGATATGTAAAACTGAATATATACTCATTCACATCCATATCGTCAACATTGATTGCTTGTTGTGTTATGAAATTTTCGAACGACTGCAAGTCACTTTATGAAAAGTTGTTTTGCACCATTTTCATACCTATATTGTGACTTATTAAAAAAACAAATTGTAATTTATGATGTAGTAATTTATCAAAAATTATTTGACAGAACTTGAAGCAATCGGTAAATGCGTTGAACTTCGGATTAACCATCTTGACGGGTGGGTGTGGGTGTGTGTTTTGATATCACTCATTACAGATGCCCACACCCACATCCAAAGATAAGAAAAATATTTTTATCATGAACAGATAAACAAATATAATTATTTACAAAACAAAAAGGCGTATTCTTTACTACATCTTATTTATAATACAAAGATTTCATGTTCTCATTCTATAAGATTACATCAGACGTTTGTTCTTAAGAGTAGTTACTAAAACATTAACTTCACATAAGATCGATTTAAACAATCTTTCTCTCATTTTTAGTAATTGAATTCTGTACTTATATGATAAAAAAAAGAAACATTCTAAATCCTAGAAATTCTATGAATATAACAGAACTGAAAAAAAATCAAGACAATTTAAATATAGATTATTTATTAAATTTATCAAATTTACATGGTAAAAACAATCTTATTCAATAATATTTAATTGTATATAATCAAATAAAATATTATCTTAACCATAATCATATTTAGTTCGAAATCCAAAATAAATATTGGATAAATTGAATACTTTGATTGTACCCATTGCTTGATTAAACCAATTTGTATTACCATATAATAAATAGTTTGATTCAAACCAATCATAATTCACTATTTTTCCATGACATTCACAATCATGACTATAATCAGCTAATGCATAAAAATAACCTTGAAAAAGTTTTTTAAATTTTTCATTTTTACTACAACTTTTATTGTCATATGATAAATATTTATCATTCTTATCCAATTTAATACGACATACAATTTCATAGATTCCAGGTAATATTGATTGTAAGATTCCTTTTATACCAAGAATATAATCGAACACATTTGCCTATTAAACTGTTTGAATCAGTTTCATAATCAAAAGATTCTTGAATAGGACAATATTAATGATTTCGTGTACAATGTAAATATATTGGAAATAAATCGACACTTAATAAACGTTTTGATTCAATTAAATAATAATAAATCAGTTTCTTTATTTAAATATTTATTTCTATTAAGATAATATTCATATACTTCTTCAATTGTTAAGGACATTTTTAATTGATTTATACGTGGATATTGTTTTTGTTCAATTATACTTCTATAAGATATATAATCATGATTATTACCTTTGCTATTTAATACATTTAATAACCAAACAACACACAACTGAAATTCTAAATAATTTTGAAAATCTTTTGCTGTGCGACATAAAACATAATTAGAATTTGTTTTATTTTAAAATATTTCATTAACATAACGTTGATATAATTTTGATCCAAAATGATTTTGAATTAATATCGTCAAAAAATAATTATCTCTCTCAATATTCTGATTCGGAAATATAACTGACGAATTAAGGGATGATATCATGAAATATGTCTATTAATAGAACATAATTAGTATAGTTCAGCTGTATTAGAAGTAATAGTTTTTACTCTCATTATTAACTGAATACTTGACTTCATCTTATCTTTATTCGTTTTATTTTATGATAAACTAACATTCAAATATATAGAAAATCTAATAAAAGAAAAGAAACTAAATAAGTGCTAATAACAATAGCAAATATGTATCTGTACTATACTTTACTATGAAATGAAAGAAAAAATAACTGCTCCTACAACTATATCATTTGATTAAATTTTAAAATTAATGTTTTTCAACATCAAGAAGATTATCATTTTCTTAATTATAACCACGTTCATTGTTTGGAACATTATTTTCAATCTCTTCTTTCTATTAAAAAACAGAAAAACAATGTTAAATTATAAATTAGATGAAAGAAAACTAATTAGAATTCACTTTTGTTTCTTGATATTTAGTTCTGAAAAGATAAAATTATAGTTCAGTCATTATGTATCTAATTTGAGATAAATAAACGTACAAGAATGAATCAAATTGTATTTTGATCTAAAACAGAATGATATATTACATAATTTCACAAAGAATGTTGTTATAATTTACTTCATTGATTTCTTCTTTCTCTTCATAAAAGTGATTTTTAATTGCTTCTTCTTCCATGGAATTGATGTTCTATTTCAAAGAGTTGAAAAATGTATCAAGCAATTTAAATGTTGAAATAGAAACATTATATTTGATCTAAAACTCATGAAACAATCAATTGAATATATTCTACATGATATTTTACTTACGAAAAAGTTTTTAATTTCTTGTAGTATATATTTCAATGTTTCAATTCCATCGGATAAGTTTTTATCTCGACAAATAAGACTTATCCATTGAGAAAATTCTTATTCTGCTTCCTGATTTTCACAAAAAACAACAATATATAACCCAGGTCGAACAATCCGGCACGGAAACGGCCGATTCCGGAGATTTCATGGAAGCAGTATTCCCGTTGAATGGATCCGGTGACCGTATTTATCTGGTTTGGGCCGGAACCGACAGGGACATGTCAAAACCGGCAGCCGGATACGGTTACCTCACTTCTTGATCGGATTCCTGGCATTTTCCGGGTGGGTCCCGCTCGGAAATGGTGAGTTTCCTCAGAGATTTTGCCGGAAATTGATGGAATGGGTGGGTGTGGGCATCTCTAATGGGTGATATCAAAACACATACTCACACCTACGCGCTCAAGAATAAAGTGGAATTTATACTATCAAAATTGAGAATTTAAACTATCATATGTTGAAAGAAGTGGCATCTAGCTTTTTCTTTCGCTTTTCGTATTGATTATCTCGAATTTTAAATTTAAAAACTCACAAAGGACTACATAAATGCTTTGCTTCGCATCGTATTAAAAAGAAACTAATAGGAATCATTGTTATTATTTGTTTTACTGATAATTTAACAATTTATAAATAGTTTTATCACAAATGAAAAGTTTCACAGATTTTATCAAGATTTTGAAATAATTCTATATTCAGTTGTGTTTATTAACTTTTTTTCCTAATAGCAATCAAAATATCGTAACTTGAAGATAGCCTTCTTTGAGTTTCAATGGAAGAATTACTTCCATGTTATGATATTTGGCATAGTGAAATACAATAGATTCTTTGACACGATTAATATTAATTGGAATATAATTTTTACTTTTTATATTCTTTTTATAATAATTTATTTGCACATCTTATCGAATGATTTATCATTAACAACGCGATCAACTCTCAAGGTTCTAATATAATAATACCATCGTAATAGCTGTGATCATCAATATGATATACGACAACAAGATAAATTTTGTTCTTTATTGATAAAGTTTCATTATGTTTCATAAATGAATAGACCTATTTACGTGTAGGTTCAGCATAAAATTCAAAAACAAAATATTTTCGTCAAAATCAATGATTATGTCCATAAATCACATTTTGATACTGAAAGTTCATTTTCTCTTAAAAGTAGTGTGTCTATCGACACACTCAGAATGAGGAGAGTGAAGCACAAGTTGCATATTATTCAAGACTCTACATACAATACAAATCTAAGTGTTCTATAGATGTTTTTGATAGGGTATTTGATGTTATTATTAATAATAAAATATTACATCAAGAAGAATCGAAGCTAATCGCTGATCGTGGTAATAATTAGATGCAGGAGTACTGATAAGTTGTTATGTGTTTCTTTTTTATTTTTTTCAGAATAATATTTAAGATAACTACAGAAAATTATAAAAAGGCATGTGAAAGTTATAATGTCTTATTCATAGTACAAGACATAGACTTCTGACTTTTAGGTAAAATAGTATTAAATGTATCCAATAATCTTTACTAGTTTAAAAAAAATAATTTTCACTGAATGGTGGAATCATAAATATTAGAATTATTTTAGAACTTCAATGACATCTTGTTGATACAAATACTAGAATACTGACTTCGAACCTTTTTCTTCGGAGCAGCTGCAAGGCGTGCTTCCATTTATTGTAAGAAAAAGCATGATATATAAAAAAGAAATAGTCAGGGATCAGAAAATAATAGAATCGTATCTAACAACTGTCTTTGAAAATGATCTAGGTGTTTCTATGATATTGTTTGAATGAGTTTTGAAAGTCAGTGAATAATATAATGATCAAATTGAACAGAGCAATGCATCTGCTTTGCTAGAACATGGACATAAAAACAACATTTTTTGCCTTGCCAATGGTAATCAACGATAAATTCATGCCAAAAGTCATTCACATCATCTCAAATTGTATTCATGAGTAAAACAAACGTCGAAATCAGTAGACCACCACTAAAACAAATTGCTGATTTATTATATATTTTTTAACAAATCACATCTATATCTTTTTTCAATTAGATTACTATAATATTCCCTAACTTTTCAAAAGTTATATATACAATGCACTATTCACGGACTTTTTATAACTGAACTATGATATTTTAATATTCACTGACTTTGTGGAACTCATTTAAACAACACAACAAAAACGCTCAGCTCACTTCCAAAGACAGCTGGAAGATACGATTCAACTTTTTTTTTATCTTTTAGTATTTCTCTTGCAACAAAAGGAAGCAGGCCTGACGTACGGCCGTATTTGACGAGAATGAGTTCTTGAAAAATAATTGCAGTATTAAGTTTTGTAATAATGGTTTGGAAGCGTTTTGATGTGTGGCTCGGCAAGTTTAACTTGTATGAAACCGATAACTCTTTGACAGTCGATAATCAGTTGTTAGCAACTCGATTGTATATTATTCTCTTGAGTATCTCGGTTACCATTATCACCTTGTTTGCTACGTCGAACATGCAAACACAAGTCGTAACTGTCACATCACCTTCGGCCGATCAATTTGAATCTCTGAGCGACGAGTATCCGAATACTCTCGTTTGTCCTTGTTCACAAACCAATATTCGCTATGATCAGTTTATGTTATTTGATCCACGCTATCATCAAGTGTGTTCAAGTCAATTTACCTCTCAACAATTCATTTCAACGCTGTTCAAAACAAATATGTCTCGATTTTATCCATTAGACTTTCGTCTGATGGCTATGTCTCAGTTTCAGATCTTGACATTGTTGTGTCAAACAGCGGCATCGACTATTAATAGTGCTCTAAATCAATTTCTGGCACAAAAAATGGTCACTAGTCAAGCTGTATCACGTGAAGTATTCGAAGCTCAAGTTGTAGCACTTGTCGAACAAATGCAAACCACAACAGTAGCAAATGTGAAATACATCGATCAGCTGGTGTCCCTAGTTATTTTCAACAGTGGAATTATGTCAGCTTTGAATAACAATTATTACATTATCCAAAATCCATTACAGCCGGGTGTCTACATTCAACACGGAAATTACCCAGTTGGGAATTATATTATCAGCGACTCCTCGAATCTGAATTATAACTATTGCGATTGTAAGCTCATGTCGAACTGCACTTTTCAAGCTGGTTATTACAACTACTCTATTGGTCCTTCACATGGTGTGGCCGGCATATATAAGCCCACGCCACCACCAATCTTAATTGTGCCAGGTATGTTGGTTGGATGTCTGCCTCGTGATTCAATGCTTCAGTCGACACTTGAGTGTTTTTACAATCGTTCATGCCTCAATCTCATTGGTATATCACAAGCGATCATACCACTCAATGCGGGTGCTTCATCTCGCTTTCGAGTCAATACAATCGTAAATACTTTGTTCGAACAGCTTTTTGTTGAAACATGGCAAAATTCGAGTAATTTCACCAGTTACTACAATGCATGCTATCCGGAAGCATGCTCTTACACCTATACACAACCTGGTAATTTTCTTTATGCAATCACAATGCTGCTCAGCCTCATCGGAGGTCTCACAACAGTACTCGGTATTGTCGTTCCTCTCCTCGTAAAATTCTTTCGTCGTCTACTAGTTAAATGCCGAGGTGATGCAGTTCCTACAATAGAAAATGATCTTGCAGGTAGGCGATTTTTTTACTTTTCCTGATTTATTTCATTCTCACGAAATCATACTGAGGATTTATTTGATTTACTATATTTCTAAAGAAGAAACTTTGAGGATATGGAATTGTTTGAGAAACGAACTAGGGTGTGTTCTAACATCGACTTCATCCTTTATAAATGACACCAGATGATAACTGCTTGAATCATTTTAGTGCTAAGCATTGGAGAACGCCTTCTAAGCCTCGTTCGGCGAATTCGTCAGCTGATCAGAACATTTAACATGTTCAAAACTTCCTTTTCTACCGTGAATCTGGGAATTCAAACAACGCGTCTCTATATTTTTCTCACATTTATGAGTGCGTATATTCTCTTCACTTATTCAATGTTGAGTGTGACCACGATAGGTGGTACCATACAACAGCCTTCTTTGGATACTTTCGAAAAACTGTACTCTCGATATTCATCGACACTCGTATGTCCTTGCACTGGCCTTTCTGTGACCTATGGTGAGATAATGACTGTTACGCCTTATTTTCATCAGCTCTGCTCAAGTGATTTTATCCGAGATGATCGTTGGTTACTCTATTTCCGCATAGTCAGCTCGACTTCGGGCGGTGTGAGCTATTATGTTGGTGATTTTCGTTCGAATCCTGGTTCTAGTCTATTTTACTTAATGAAAACATTGTGTGAAACAGCTAAAACAACTGTTATCAATGCCGCAACTGTTTTTGGCGCAACAACACTGGTGAATCCGTATCTGATACCACGTGTATTATTTGAAAAGGAGACGACCGAACTAGCACTACAGTTTCAACAAGAAACACAAGCTTCTTTTCTAATTCTATTCTCTCAAGTAAGCACGGCAATTCGAGATAATCAGTTCTACAACCCTATAGGTCTTGCAGCTAATCTACAGTTCAGGTCTGATAGTACGCAGGTTATGTTGGGCCTACGAAACATATATCCTTCGGGATCTGTCTGCTCATGCGCCATATCCAACAAATGTACTCGACCGCAAGGATTGTATTGCAGTGCTAGCGCATGCCAAAATATCTACGCACAGCCAAACGTCACTGTTCCAAGTATGTTTTTGGGCTGTACGTCTATAGACTCATTACTGATTTCAACACTTGACTGTCTCTTCAACCAATCGTGTATTCAATTTCTGCTTGATTGGCGTTTATTTGACATCAGTGGTAAGACTGCGCCGATCGACCCACGTGGAGCCAATACTATAGCACTCAACCCAGATTTACCCAGTCGGTTTTTGCCCCATTCTACATTTGAATCACTAGTATTGAATATGTTTCTCGAAAATTGGACATCATCCAGTGACTACAGCATCTACTATACAACCTGCAACCCAGATAGTTGCACATACACATACGAAAAATCGTATGCTTTTGTTGCTGCCATTACAGTTCTCATCGGTTTGCTAGGTGGCCTCAGTGTTGCATTAAAGCTGATTCTGCCACCGTGTGCAAAACTGGTTGTGGGTATTTTTCATCGTTGTAAGGGCGTCGATAGATTAGGTGAGTTCATGTACTTATTATCTGTATACTTTACTCTGTATCTCATTGTATCAGAAGTGAAGCTTACGCTTTTTTCTAGACTCGTATTCTTAAAATAAGGGCAATTATCGTCATCTTATTATTTATAGTATTATCGTGGTTGCCAACTTCGATTGTTACCGATCTTTATAATTTTGATCTATACGAGTATAGCGAATATAAATCTGTTTTTCTGGAAACGAACTATCTCTGCAATTGTCGAAAAGACATAAGTATTTTTCCGATATTACGGCAGAAGATCTTCCGTTGCGAAATAATGGATGTTATGAAATACAGAGCTGTCATAATCTGAGAAGTCATGGGAGTTGCGATGCTTCCCAAATAAGAAAATATGGGTCAGACTTTTTCTACTATCTAGTTTATTAATCAGGACCAGTTGTTTTGAGTTTCGATGTAATCTATGGGTAACATTTGTGATTTAATTCAGTACTACTAGATGACCAGAAAAGGTTTATGCGTGTTCCAAGCTATGGAATCCTTCCTAAATACTAGTGCATGTTCACACAGTTCTTTTTTAAACGTTTTTGTTCTTGCAACAATTCTGAATTTGAGAGTGGCTATAAACATGAGAGGTTGAATACAACATACTCTATTCATGTTTACCAGAAGTGTGTATGTGGAACAAATAGACGAATGAATAATGACGATGTAATCGCCTTTTTAAGTCATAGGAAAATCGACGATCTCCCAGTCTTAGCCGACTATGACAGCCCTTAGTAAATATAAGATATTTGCGCATCTAGAATATTTATGATTTTGTATGGCTACGATGAATCTCCTTTGACTTCATTTTCCTTGAAAGCATTAACAAAAATTTTATCCAATTATCAACTTAGAAAAAAGCTGTTTAGTTTGACAACACTTCTACAATTTTGATGCAATCACTTCATAATTGCGGTTCTTAGAAACAATGCGATATATAACTAGCGTTTCAGTTGTGCAAGAAAGCAGTACAACATATAAATCATCTAGTCTAAGCTTTCACATTCGCATGTAACAAGAGTCTCAGATGATCACACAGTCAGAAAAAGAATTAGCGCGAGTATTGCCTTCTCTAATAGACAAAGTCATCGTAGTCTGGAAAGTAATGTTGTTTATGTGAATAATCGATTTCTTTCATCATTCTAGATCCAGAAATCACCGAGCGCAATACTCAGCCGTGTTTACTATTAACCCATGCACGGAATACGTTGCTGAACATAGATGTTTTCAAAGATAAACTGCCAGCGGGCCATGATATTGACACGAAAAAACCAAGTCGACTCTACATCATTTTGTTGTCTCTAGCTTTTGGTATCATCATTTTCTATACAAGTTTTAGTAAACAAACACGCACTATCACAGTTCTCTCACCATCTCAAACAACATTTTCGTACCTACAAGACCAACATAAGTCAAGTCTATCATGTGTTTGTTCGCAAGCCTCTATTCAGCAAGATGTATTTCTCTCGATTTCACCTCATTTCCATCAGATATGTTCTAGCGATTTTGTTGCGGAACAATGGTGGGGTTATCTTTGGGGACTGGGTGGTGTGAACACTTTTCAGGATCTTCAACTTCTTAGCATTCAGTTTCGTATTCTTGCATCATTATGTTCATTAGCACAGCAATCTATCGACAAGGACACAAGTGAATTTCTTGCCAATAAATTAGTCACTCTAGAGGCAATGTCATTCAGTTCATTTCAAGCTCAGATTGATTCACTTACATCCGTATTTACTGCTCAAACGCTAGACAAATTTCGTCGTACTCAATCGTTCATTTATGAAACATTTCGTGCAAATCAGCTGCTGGTTGTACCTGAAACAAATTGGCAATTCGCTCTCACAACTGCAGCGGATAATTACGTCCTTGCTACTGTGCCACGTAGTTCATTTGGGAATAATTATTCATGTATTACATCATTAAACAGCTTCTCACGACCATTGTATATTGATAAGAACTATAACACAACTGTATTACCTGGCGTGGTGGCTGGTTGTTTTCCAGTTGATGGTACTCGTCTGTCTACTCTAGAATGTTTCTTTGATTCAAACTGCATTTTAAACTTGACAAGCATTGCATCGACGCGCCCTACCACTATTTGGATTGCTAAACCGCTCAATGCCTCAACACCCAGTAATTATTCTTCAAATACTCTCATAGGTAGCCTCGTTGATAGTTTATTCGTGGAAGATTGGGGAATTAAAAGTAATTATTCAAGCTACTTCGATTCGTGTGCTCCGGATTCATGTTCATACAAATATATTGATCACAACACAATACTCTACATAATCACCACTGTGCTTGGGTTGTATGGTGGGTTGACAGTGGTTCTCGGTTTTATTGTCTGGTATGGGTGGCTTATGTATCGAAAAATTGTGGGATGGATGCAAATCGTTCCTCGTTTAACATCAACACGAGTAGTTCCTTCTCAGCCAACTATCGATATTGAATGAACACTAAATTATGACTTTTAAAAACAGAATCTATGTTGTATTGCTTCTTGTCTCATCACTTCATATTGAATCCATATCGCTTTTTGTCTCATTGTTTTATATCTAATCAGTAGTGCTTCTTGTGTCATCATTTCATATTTAATCAGTAAATAGATGTTATAAAAATCAAGCCGATTTCCTACCATTTGCTTATTGTGACTGAGGTGATGAAAACAGAAAAAACAACACAAACAAAGATGAAGAGTCAGCTTTGTCTCAACATTGTTGGAGCATCAGAATCAAAATATAAGCATGAAAATAGCTACAAGCACTTTAGAGTATGGATTTATATAGTGTTCTCTATATTGCCTTAATGCTAATTGCTTTTATGTCAAACTTTTATTCACTTCTGTTCGAAATCAGCTCATTGCCGTATTTTTCTAGTTTATTGTTCGAGAGTGTGGGTGTAGATATCAATACTGTTTTTATTCAACATCTATACTCACCGACGCTCTTTATCTAAAGTAATGATCTTTTCATAAAGAAGTAAGAAGTGTATTTTGTGAAAATGTTAAAAATTATGGTCTGTAGTAAATAATATTTTCAGACATCTTGAGAATTTGCTAGTACTTTGGAACAAATATTATTTCACTCAAAGATGCGCCTTTGAATGCTCTGTAAGACTATATAAAGATTATTTTAGGCTGTCAAAAAAAATTGCATAACAGAAACAAAAACTCGAAAAACAGTATGAAAAAAGTGTCTAGTTCATATATTATAACGACTTAATTTTTTTATAGAATACATAGTGAATAAATAAAACATAGATTTTTGTCAAGCATCGCCCGCTCTATACACTGATATCAAATTGTAATGCCTTCCATCAATTTTTTGTGATCGAAAATTTCAAAAAACAAAATGTATAAAAAATCATGATTTTTGACATATTAATATTTCGTAAGCAAATAAAGCTTTCTTAAAATACTAGAAGACTTTGCCCAAAAGTTGTCAGAGTTTGGGTTTCTAGCTAACCTTTTATACTTTTTCAAACTAGTGAATGTATTTCAAAAATCGTTTTTTAAGCTGTTCTATTGCATAAACTGTTGCTGCCGACTGAAACTACTAAATATTAACAACAGACTCTGGTAAGATATATTTCACTAGAGTAAATATTGATTTTAACGATATATCTACAACATACTGGATTGTGTATACTTTTAATATGAATAATAAATGTTAAAAAATACATTTTTTAATGAGAAGTTTCATATGCGTCTATTCAATTATTCTGATTGATGTTATTAATATATAAAAATAAAATAGAATTAATCATCTTTTCAAAAAAAAGTTAATACATTATATAGAATTTTTTATCTTTTATTCGGGAAAAAAAGAAAATCACGCAAGTTTCTTTTAGATAGGAAAAAATTATTTTTGTTTTCTAATTATATTTTGACCATATTGATCTTAATCTAATGCAAAGCTTCACATTCTTTTGCAATATTTATTGATTTTAATTTTCATTATGATGAATACCATTTTGTTTGGTAGTTCCATCACCATGCACAACATGTACAACATCGTTACTTACTCGAGTAGTTTATTTTGAAGCAACATGATCACGTATGCTAGAGAAACTGCAACGACAAATATAAGAATATTGGCTAATTATTACACCTATGTCATATCCGTATTGTTCGTTTGAATAATATTGTTCAGAATCATGTCGTGATAAAGCATGGAACAGTTATCATCGAATTTTATGTCCATCCATGAATTCTGAAACAACTGAACTTTATCAGTTTTGTGCTAATAAGAAGGGGGAAAAGCGACACCTCATTTTCTTTAACATGTTTTTGAAGTAAAAGCGAAGTACCGATGAAGTACGCACTCTTGAAGTCTCGCTTTTCCCCCCTTGTATATAAATAGGGTTTTTCCTTTCCTTTTGGGCGTGCAGATGTCATACATATATAGAATTTTTCATTTCGTTTGTTCATCTGCCTTTATTTTCCGAACGTTCTCTTCTGATTGTGCTCGGGTGTTTTTTCTTTATGAGTTGTTGCATTTTTCCGGATTTGTTCAGTATATATGTCGGAGCGTTTTGGAAAATAAAACAGACGTTTTAGTGTCGATTAATTAGATCAATTCCCCCGCTAACACTATGTTGAATAATAAATAAATTATTGTTTCATTTTTTAATTTTTTATATTTTGAAACATCACTTAAACAAATTGAACATCGTCATTCTCATCATCTTGAAACAACTAAAGATGAACAACAGCGTATACAAAATAGGGATGTGACAGTTTAAGCTCGTGAATTGTGAGGAGCTGGTATCCAGTTCCAGTTTCAATCCATGCGAGCTGATGATCAGCTCCACTTCAACCCATGTGAACTGGCGATCAACTTCAATTCATATAAACTCTTCAATAGTTCTGACAACAACTCTTTTGAGCTCCTGACGAGATGTTTTCAGGCGAACTTGAACTAGTGCATTAGTTCCCCTTTTGAAATTATCATAACTCTAGTGCAGAACAAAAAATTGCTTATTTAGGTTTATTAGAAAATCTACGCGTTCGTCAAGCGAGTAAAGCTCTAAATGTTTCATTAATAAATACATAATTAAGACAGAAAAGAGGTTTGTGTTATCGAAAATCATATGATCGATTTGTTCAACGGTAAAATAAAAATAAAATCTATGTATATATACATGTCTATTCTCTTTTAGATATAAAATAATCGATTGTATTCAATCAAAACTACATTCATGTGGACCATTTACCAAAGAAAATGCTGTTTATATATGTAATGGACTTAATATTAATAATAATATTGTTTATGACAATACAAAACTATTTATAAAACAAACATATTTTTAAAAATAAAACATTTTGTTTTTTCATAGAATTTCATTATTTCAGTTAGAAAATAAACGAAGAGAAAGTTTACAAACTATTGTAGTTCTACTTCAAAAAGTATTTCATTCATAAAAAACAATGAGACTTTGACTATTTTTCGTTTAGCATGTTCGGTCATGGAGACAATGTTGTAAATTTCATCAAGTAAATTCTGCAGTTAAAATACAAAGTTTCTATTGAAACTATCTTACTCGCAATTTTGTTGATTAATTAAATGATGCATTTAGATATTTGAAATAAAATACATGCTAATGTAACAGTTAGAAGATTTCTAATGAATAGCATAAATCTTGCGATATTTTATTTTGAAAGAGACAAATATGTGTAAAGAATAGAAACTATGTTTGTTGAGAAACTAATTCTTATCAGAGATCCTAATTTTTTACAAAATTGAATTGATTATATCTCTGCATAGAGAACAATACTTTCTTTTTCCCATACCACTAACGAGAAAGAAATTTCATTTTATATTTAGTCTTATAGATGAACGATGTCTATATAATATAGTCTGAATGTTACACAAAATATGCTTCACTTTTTTAACAAAATTTGAATTATTTGTAATATTTTATATATGTGAAATGTTTTGTTTAGTAACCATCAAAATATAATTCTCAATTGATCAAAATTAAATTTAATTTCTATAAGTATTATCGTACAATAAATTTTTCGGCAGTAATTAAATCAATTCAAATGTTTGTTTTTTGTATGATAAATATCTGTTTATATGGTATATTAATATAATAAAACAGTGATTATCAGTGGAGCATCAATCGACATTTGAATTAAAATATTTTACTAGTAAATATTGCAATTTTGTTTCATTCAGTAAGTCTACTGCACAATAGAGGTATATTTTAATAATATTATTTATTTCATGTCTTCGATAAACATGAATATAAAGTTCTATTGTTCTTAATTATAAACTAACATATTTAATACAAAAAATCCATCTTTCAATTAACTCTTATTAATTCACTTTAAATTGTGTAAATTTTTATTTAGTAAAATTTCTTCGAGGAATGAAAGATTGTAATAATATGTCATTCGTATTTTATTCTATTTAATATAATACACAACATTTTATGCTATACTTGTAGATGATCAGTTTTTGAAAGATTCACATATAAATCATAACTATCCGATCATTATGTATATAACCCATCCTGAGAATAAATACAGATTTAAAATATTCGATTTTTATTTATTAAATATAATTAAGTTTATGAGATATATTATTTAGATTCGAATTTCGAAAAAGAAAAAATGTTATTAGAGCTAGGTTAATATTGATTATAATGTTTCATAAATTGTATCTTTCAGAACTGGTAAGTCTGTTATCATTTCCATCGTAGCCACCCATGGTTAATACAAAAGTCTTTGTTAAAACAGTTTGATGATAATTTCTTCCATGATTCAACATAGCAGTATTTGACCAAGTTCTTGTGACAGGATCATATAATTCACATACAAGTGGATATGTACTTGTTGTCCAATCAGCACCACCAACTGCTAATACTTTACCTGATGACAGGAGTGTAAGTGTTAATCCTCCTCGGCGATATTGCATTGATCCAACAGCTGTAAAGCGTTTTGATGTTGCATTGTAAATCTCAGCAGTTGGAAATGCAAATGATGCACTGTTACCTCCACCTACAACTAATACAGTTCCATCATTTAATAATACAGCAGCATGAAAAGCTCGATTTATAGTCATACTACTGGATGTGAGAAACCAAGAGCCATTAATATAAAGTTCCGCTGATGAAATGAGATAATTAGTAGCATTTACACCTCCTGTAACAAGTACAGTGGATCCATCACTAAGAAGTGTACTTGTAAAATAAGATCGTCCTATATTCATATTAGTTGTGTTAATAAATGAGTTTGATGATGGAATATAAAGCTCGGCTGCAGATACACTTCTAACTGAAGCGTTAAATCCACCTGCAATGAGTATTCGTCCATTTGCAAGTAGAGTAGCTGTGTGTGCGTAATGAAGAGTTAACATATTAACTGATGTGAATGTCCATACATTGTTAACCATGTTATATACTTCAGCAGTTTGTGCACTATTTACAGCGTTACCACCAGCGGCTAATACTTTAGTATTATTTGCAAAAGTAGTAACAGTATGATAAGCACGTGGTACCTTCATTAGACTTGCAAATTGCCATCCGGTTGAGGTGTAAACTTCAGTCTGTGAAGTAAATGTACTAGAATTAACATAACCTCCAGCTACAAGAACTAGTCCATTTGCTAATAATGCAGTTCCAAAGTTAGATCGTCCAGAGTTAAGCGGTTTATCTATATTCCAAAAGACTGATTGAGGAGAAGTTGATGTTTGAACGTTGTTATCTGTAAATAAAAAATAAACTTATTCATTTCTTTTTCTTCTTGATAAGAAACATCGATTAAATCTTATATCTTGAGAGAATTTCTTTTGAGATAATGTGTATTCACTTAGTGTAAATGACAAATAAATATTTCATCAAATTATATTAAAATTGATGACTGAACGATTCAAAGGAAATTTTCTTTAGTTCTATTCACACAAATTGTATATGATAATCTTTCTCAATGACTTACTCATCATTGTGCTAGTGATTCTCATAGATGATGGAATATTTGTAACTTGTGTGCTGGCCATTCCCACTGCTAAAAATCAATAACTATACCGCTTTACAATATCTTGTTTATAATTAAGATACGTACTTGTTGACATATCTGTCTTCACTGTTATTGTTGTTGTTAAGCCTACAAAGTAAAACAAATAATTAGCAAGAAATGAATAGTAAATAGCCTCAGATATTTTATGTAGAAATAAAGCTAAAACTTCAATCTATTGCTAAAATATCGTATGTGTGACATAAATACATATTAGATTTAATTGTTTCCGCTGCGCCTTCTACATTCACAATACTCGTATTTTGAGTATTTGTTGAAGTTATTACAGTTTAAATATCAAGTTCAAATTTCTTTCACTTCATGTAAGGAAGTCATTTTACTTGTCATCTCTTGTATTATCATTGTCGTAGTGATTTCGATGGAAACTACACAAAGTGATTTAATACATACAAACTTCTTAATACGATTACAACTTTTATTTCATTCAGAAAATTGTTTAGCTATAAGAGAATCTTCGTCGCACTTTTCTATATCTCATAATTGTAACATGTTACCTTACTCATGCTAGACATTGTTAAGTGACTACTCTTGTCACTCAAACTGATCAAATACAAGTTGCTTTTTGAATAAGCTGAAGAAACATTCTTATGTCATTACTTCTAAACCATTGTACTTTACCTATCGATATGGTTGCAGGTGATGTTTGAGCAGTAGTCGAAATCATTGTCGTTGATAACGATTCAGATTGATCAGTTGTTATTGTTGTTGATGCATATTCAGAATTCCCTGTTGTCATAGTTTCGGACAACACACCATTATTACTTGATATCATAGTTGTTCCTAATGGCTCAGAATTCTGTGAAGTCACAGTTATCGACGAGTATTTAAGATCACTTGGCGCTGTGGATATCGATGACACTACTGAACTATCTGTTATCAAAGATTCTGATGAAAACTGAGAAGTACTCGTTACCAAAGGTGTCGATGACACAACTGAAATATCAGTTGTCAACGAGTCTGATGTGAGCTGAGAACTATTCGTTTCCATAAGTCTCGATGATAGTACTGAACTAATTATTGTCGAAGGTTCTGTTGGAAAATGAGAACTGTCTGTCATCGCAGATATAGATGCTGATACAAAATTCTCTGTTGTTAAAAGTTCTGATGTTAACTGAGAGCTACTCATTGTCATCGGTGTCGAGGCTAACATCGAACTGAGTCTTGTCCAGGATCCTGATGTAAATTGAGAACTACTTCCTGGCATTGACGTTAATGGTGATACTGAATTGACAATTGTTGAAGATTCTGAGGTAAACTGAGAACTATCTTTTCTCATATCTGCTGATGATAATGTTGAACTATCTATTGTCAGAGATTCTGATGTGAACTGATAGCTACTTATTGTTGTAGGTGTCGATAATAATCCAGAACTATCCATTGTTGATGATTCTGACGATAACTTAGAACTACTTGTTGTCTTAATTATCGCTGATATTATTGAACTATCTACGGTCGAAGATTGTAACTCTAACTCAGTACTACTTCCTATGAAAGATATTGATGCTGACACGGAACTATCTGTTGTTAAAGATTCTGGTGTTAAAGCAGCACTAATTGTTGTCGTAGGTGTCGATGCCATTGTTGAGATATCTATTGTCGAAGATTCTGAAGTCAGCTGGGTACTGCCTATCATTATAGATACTGATGTTGATACGGAACTGTCCACTACGAACGATTCTGGTGTAAACGAACTACTGACGACTTTCATAGGTGTCGATGGCATTCCTGAACTATCTGTTGTCGAAGATTCTGACCCGAACTGACTACTACTTGTTGTCATAACTATCGATGGTAATAATGAACTATATGTTGTCGATGACTCAGACGTCGTTTGAGTACTGTCTGTCATCAAAGGTATTGATGCTGATACAAAATTCTCTGCTGTTAACGGTTCTGTTGTCATCTCGACACTAATCGCTGTAATAGGTATCGATGACATTACTGAACTGTTTGCTGTCGAAGATTCTGACGTCATTTGAGTACTATCTATCAAAACGGATACTGATGTTGATAAGAAACTATTTGTTGTTAAAGATTCTGATGTTAACCCGGCACTAATTGCTGTCATAGGAGTCGGCGACGTTCCTGAACTATCTGTTATTGAGAATTCTGACTGTAACTGAGTACTACTAGCTGTCATAATCATCGATGATAATAATGAACTATATTTTGTCGAAGATTCTGAAGTCAACCGAGTATTGTCTGTCATCACAGATACGGATGCTGAATCGGAACTATCTGTTGTTAAAGATTCTGGTATTAACTCAGTATTAATCGTTGTCAGAGACGTCGATGATATTACTGAACTATCTATTGGCGAAGATTCTGATCCTGACTGTGTACTACTTGTTGTCATAATTATCGACGATAATAATGAACTGTCTGTTGTTGAATGTTCTGATGTTAACTCAGTATTAATCGTTGACATAGGTATCGATGGTATTAGTGAACTATCTATGATTGAAGATTCTGAAGTGAACTGATTATTGTCTGCCATTACAGATGTTGATGCTGACACGGAACTGTCAGTTATTAAAGACTCTGATGTTAACTCTTCACTAATTGTTGTGATAGGTGTCGATGACATTACCGAGCTATATATTGTCGAAGGATCTAAAGTCAATTGAGTTGTCTCCGCCATCATGAGTACTGATGCTGATACGGAACTGCTGTCTATGAAAAGTTCTGGTATTAACGAAGTACTCATCATTGTTATAGGTGTTGATGGCATTTCTAAACTATCTATTGTCGATGATTCTGACCCTAAATGAGTACTGGCTATCATCACAGATACTGATACTGATGCTGATACGGTACTATCTGTTGTTGAAGATTCTGATGTTAACCCGTTACTAATTGTTGTTATAGGACTCGATGTCGTGACTGAACTATCTGTTGTCGAAGATTCTAACGTCGACTGAGCACTATCTGTCGTCACAGATATTGATGCTGTCACGGAACTGTCTGTTGTTAAAGATTCTGATGTTAAATCACCACTAAGCATTGTCATAGGTGTCGATGACAGTACTGTGCTACCTATTGTCGAAGATTCTGAAGTCAACTGAACACTGTCTGCCATCACAAATATCGATATCGATGCGGAACTATCTGTTGTTAAAGATTCTGGTGTTAACCTGTCACTATTTGTTGTTATAGGAATCGATGACGTTACTAAACTATCTGTTGTCCAGAATGCTGACGGTAACTGAGTACTACTTGTTGTCATAATTATCGATGACATTACTGAACTACCTATTGTCGAAGCTTCTGAAGTCAACTGAGTATTGTCTGTTGTCATAGATACGGATGCTGATACGGAACTATCTGTTGTTAGAGATTCTGATGTTAATTTAGCACTAATCATTGTTATAGGTGTGGATGATATTACTGAACTATCTATTGCCGAAGATTCTGACCCTAACTGAGTATCACTTGTTGTCATAATTATCGATGCTAACACTGAATTATCTGTCGTCGACGACTCGGACCTCAATTGATTACTGTCTATCATCACAGGTGTTGATGCTGATACGGAACTCTCTGTTTTTAAAGATTTTGGTAATAACTCGGCACTACTCGCGGTCATAGGCGTTGATGACACTACTGAACTATCTGTTGTCGAAGATACTGACCCGAACTGAGTACTACTCGTTCCGGTAATTATCGATGATAATAGTGAACTATATGTTGTCGAATATTCTGACGTCAATTGAGTGCTGTCTGTCATCGCAGGTATTGACGCTGCTACGAAACTATCTGTTATTAACAATTCTGATGCTAACTCAGCACTAATCGCGGGCATAAGTGTGGATGACATTACTGAGCTATCTATTGTTGTTAATTCAGGTGTTAACTGTGAACTACTCGTTGCCATAACGATCGATGACATTACTAAGCGATCTTCTGTTGTTGATTCAGATGTTAACTGAGAACTACTTGTAGTCATTGTCGTTAAGGATAATACTGGCTTCTCTGTTGTCATAGATTTTGATATGAACTGAGAAGTACTTGCTGCCATAGGTACCAATGAGAATAAAGAACTGTCTCCTGTTGAAGATGCTAAAGCAAACTGAGAACTACTTGTTACCGTCATTTTTGAAGTAGATTCAGATATATCTAACTTCATAGTTGTCGATGACGATTCTAAAGTAGATGGTGCTACTGTATCTAACAGATATGTCGGGGAATTTGTTGTCACGGTTACTAATGCAGAGTGGAAAGTAGGAACAGTCATTTTTGTCGATAAGAATTGAGGATTACTCGTTGTTACTGTTGCGAGCGAGGAATCGAAAGTCTCAGCTGTCCCATCACTCAATGAGGTCTGAAGAGTACTTCTCATCAACATTGTCGATAATAACTTAGATTTGTCTGTAGTAGTCATTTTATCCTCTAGCGTCTTCAAATCTAATAAACAAATATATTTTATACATTGATTAGATTCCAATTATTAGATATACCTGTAAGTGATGTGGAAGATGCAGTTGTTATTTCACCTGAAATAAATATAATAAAAAAAAATACAGTTAGAATGTTAACTCCCTCTTATTTTTGAAACTTTGTTCTATTGAAATAAATAATATTATTTGAATCTAGATATTTACATTAATAATCCTACAGCATGTTAATCATAGTAAAAATACTGGGGATTATTGAAATATCCTTCGAAAGAAATATAAGCTATGTTGTTATTCAACGATATAAATGGAAAGTGTGTACTCTCAACTATAAAGACAACTATTTTTTATAAACAATTCACTCATTGTAATATTCATCAACCCTATAATAATTTCCACGATACCTATTCTTCCAGCAGTGTTCTGTTCTGTACCTAACAAAAATAATATTTTTTCATTTCTTTTTTTATTATTTCAAAACAGTTTTACTTGTTATTCCATCTAGAAAAACAAAAATCTAATGATAATAAAGTTCTGAGTTATATTCTGAAAAATTACCTTGTTTATTTGTCTTTGTTAATTGAGTTATATCAGTTGTTCGCAATTCTTGCTTTGTACTGCTCGCCAACGCTGTATAAACATTAGATTTCATTGTGCCTTATAAAAAATATTATCTAAATTATTCATTCTATTTATTACTAAAGATATACTTGTCATGAATAGTGATGTTTGAGCTAAATTAAATAAATTTTGTATATAATATTTTCCTTCTATAGCAATTGACTTACCATTACCAGTTGTCATTATGTTTTGTCCTTTAGTATCCATATGTGTTGTTTGAAAAGTAGATTGTACTGTATCTAAAAAAAACAATAATATTGAAATAAAATAATGAATAAACATACTTTGAACAGTCTTTGTTGAGACCGTTACCAATGTAACTGAAATAAATAATTAATAATTATCTCATGGAAAAACTGACTTACATGTCGATATATCAGACGTCGAATCTTCTACTGAGTATGATGTACTTGTTGTTGGGTTGTTTAATTGATCTAAAAAAGTAAATTATCTGATCTTACAAATTTATTTATCAATATTTACTTGTTGAATCAGGTTCCGAAGTAAAATCACGTGTTAATTGATGATTATTATCATCACCACCTAGATTAATAAATAAATCTCTATAGAAATATAAAATAAAATTCAAACTGACTATTTGAAGTAGTAATGGCATCAATTGTTGTTGTATCTAATATACCAATTGGTGCAACTTCATCTATTTTAGAATGATGTTTGAAGTAAACAGCAAGTGGTATCACAATTATTAATATAGTAACGATAAGGAGACAAACGATACATAGACGTTGTTTCATTGTTTTAAGAAGATCTTTGTATCTTCTACTTTTTTTTCATGATAATAAACTTATTGTGTATAGATCAGTGCTGATATTTAAAAAAATGAGAAAATCATAATATGCCATTTGTCTGATACAGCAGTTAACGGAGAAGAATAAAATTACCCAGTGACGCAGTTTGTTTAAACGCCATACGGTTAGTAAGAATCCAACTATAATAAGTCATTCAATATTTATTTGAAAAATGTACTCGAAACTTTTTTTTTGAAAAAAGGACTCATGATATTTAATATTGTCATATGGTAAACAGCGACTGCAGAGTTTTTATATACGCATCAATATAATAGTGCAATGAAAACAAGCAAATATATTTTTCTCTATTGTTCAGCTGTTAAAATATAAAACAAGGTGAGTTTTATATTCTGCTGTGTTGATTAATGCTTGATTTATTATGACTAAATACTGAAATATTCCAGTTTTAACTTATTCAAAAAAAAATATTCATGTATTTTGTAAAGACCTCTTCTTTTGATTGAATGTTTTTTTAGAAAATATGAAAATTTTAATTATTTCAAGATTAGATATTCTAAATAACTGATTCAAATGACAAACAAATACCAGCATAGAGTATATATTTTCACTTCAGTCTGTTAGAATAATCAAGAAAATATTTTATTCAGATAAAGAACAATTACTAAATAATATTAAAATGAATACATATATATTTCAACGTTTTGAATTTTTATTCATCGTTAAAGAACTACTTTCTCTTTTTTTTCTTACCATTAGATAAAGTTCTTTAATAAAATCATCAAAGAACTGTTTTATTGTTGTTGAACTTCCTCTATCTACCTTCATTCTTTTCCATAATATCAAATAACTGTCTATGACTTATGTATGTGCGGCATTACTTACTAAATTGTATCAGAGAATATTTCAGTATCATCAACAAGCACGTGTAGTTTACTAAAAGGATAAATACATTAACAAACAATTAGTTGTCATGAAATCTTTCAACATTTATCCGAGAATATGATCAGATGAAATAATTAGCGCAACCAAAACAAAAAAAAAAGAGAATTCTACATTTATTAAATGCACAGAAGAAGAAGAAGAAAAAGGATACATTTCAATAACAAAAAAGTCTGGTATTTGATCTTCAAAATGTTGTATAACTTTATAAATATTTTTTTTCTATGATAATTCAAGATCTTTTTGTTGTTGTATAGCAAGAAAAAATTATTTTAATATTGCTTGAGCAACTTTATTAAAACTAATTGGTACTTAGAACAAACCAAAAAATATTAATGAAAATTTATAATTAAAAAACAAAAATTTATTGTTCTACATTTATTTGATTAGAACGATTATAACGAAGATTAAGAATTTGATAAAGTTCACAATTAGGTGTTACAATTAAATCATCTATATTTCGAATACCTTCAGATAAACATTGTCGAGTATACTTTTCAATTTGTTGATAAATAAATGCACGAAAAATATTTACAGTAACATATTGTCTATTTAGTTAAGAAAATAAAGGAGATGATGAAGAATCAGAGTTATTAACAAGTAAAGCACTTCAAGAGATTAAATTAAATACAAATATTTTCTTTGTTTTTATAATATTCATTACTAGTTACAACATATTTAGATTTTACATTTTGCTTATAAAGTTAATATAATATCATCAGCTAACTCAAATATATTTCAAATCTTAATTAATAAAATGAAAGAAATACAATTAAAAATTTAATTTTTTTATTATTTCAAAAATTTTCTCCTTTTTTGGTAGCTTTTTCAGGCATTTTATTCCAGCCATTGTCCTCATATTGATCCTAAATTTATTCGTTCTATTGCACATAATATATTAAATAGTCTTAGTGATGCAAAGTGTCTGTTATAGTGTCACTGAGATATATCTTTTTTTCTTTTCTTTCTCTCTCTTTGGCTCTTCCTTATTATTAGAACAGTAATGTGTGCAACTTGTTTTCTATTAATGAAGTATCGCAGCTGTACAGCGACACAACTGAAAGAAGTGAGTTTGTCATGAACGCATGATATTCCTGATAAACAGTTCTCTCTCTCTTTCTTATTAATAGAACAGTAATGTGTACAACTTGTTTTCTATTAATGAAGTATCGCAGCTGTACAGCGACACAACCAAAAGTAGTGAGTTTGTCATGAATGCATGATATTCCTGACAATGCTTACAAACAATTTCCTCTTTCTTCATTACTCAGTGTATTAATAACTGAAATTAGCTTTCTCATAACGATGGATGGCAGCTGTACAGCGATACTATTTGATGTGAATTTTAGTGATACAGTCAATGCTCCTAATACGAATAGCTTTTCGAAACAGTTCGATTATTTTTACTGGTAGAGAAGAAGTTGTACTGAAATATAGAAATATTTTGTATATTTGAGTGTAGAAACGTCTGCTGGACGGAGTTGTTTAAAAAAATGAAGTAATTATCTTGAAAATCAATGAAGTAATTGGCGGCCGTTTGCAATAAACCATCTTGAGGGTGTGGATGTAGTTACGTTTATGAATATGATACTGCTACACCCAACATCCACACCCTCCTTTTGTGGAAAAAAGATAAAAATCATCCCACCTATGGCACATACATCTTCAAACTTATTTCAAACTATTGTATACATAAATAATATGAATTTCAGTTTTTCTTTATTTTGGCTGTGAATATTTGTATTATCTGACAGGCAATTATGTTTCTATGCTTATAATCTTGATATTGGTCTCATTAATTAGATGTATGAAGCCGAACCAAACTATTCTCACTGACTTGAAAATAGAAATTTTATAAAATTTTCAAGCTTTTGATCGTTAATTGAATAAAATAAACTAAGAATCTGAGCTTTTATTAATTACTTTAATTCTTTTGTGTTGAATGTTTGTTTCAGTGCATTGAATTGTTTTGTCTCCAAGGCAAACAGTAACCGTTCTAGAATCTTTCCAGCATGTTGAGTTGGTGGTGCTTTTGTCAAACTAACTGATGACTCTTTTCGATAGTCCCAATTTTTCAATATTAAATGTAAATATTAATAGAGAGTGTATATGTGTGTGGGTTTGGAGATGAGGTTAGAACAACATCAACACTCACATACATCTACGCGCACCCATCCATATTAGATTTTAATATGTCGGGCTATATAATCGCTCAAATTCCAAATATAAATGTTTACGGATCTATACTATCATTAAATATCTGAACGCACATTATTTATACATTTACTGTTATAAATGGTATTAATTTATATATCAATGGCACATTATATGGATCAAGTAATAGTAGGATAGCTCGAGATGGTCCAAATTTACTATGTTATATAACCATTACCAATCAATTATCAGGCACTACAAGTTGCATTTCGGGAAATATTAACAATATGCCGTATGCTGGAGGTGTTGATGAATTACGTATTTACAATCGTGAAATTAATGCATCTGAAATATGTTCATTGTCTTCATAAATTTAACTATAGCTTTTTGTGAGATTACTTAATTATAATTAATTTTTATATTGATCAAAAATAAATTTTAGAAGTAAACTTTTTTTTTAATGTTATAGGTGTGAGGGTGGATGCGAGGAATGTATTAACTTTAGTCGAACGTAAAAAAATGTCGAGAACTTTAAATATGGTTTAAGATAAAATGTTAGTAGAGTTGATGATGTGAAAGTACCAGAAAAAAGATTGACTGATGTGCTAAATAATGTCAACGAACACGAGACGCAACTGTTCATATCCACAAAAAAATGAAAATAATGTTTTTTTCATAGAATATAAAAAGTCATTTTAACGAATAGAAACAAGATACATCAATTAATATTAGTCTTTCTTGGAAGAAAAAGGAACGATTAAAAAGATTAAAGGTTAAGCTAATCATGTCTAATGTATAAACTAATTAGTAAAAAGAAATGATAAGAAGAAGCTTATATCGTGTCTTCTTGATTGAGGTCATTTTTCCTTAATTGACGAAAAAATATGTCCGCAATCAAGAAACGGGTGTTAAGAGAAAAAAATGGCCGCATTTAATAGACTGTCCGCAAAATAGAATCGATTTGTGAGGATAAAAATGTCCGCATTATAGAATTACCGAAAACAAAGAAATCGACAGATAAGTGTAGGACATTTTAATAAACTATATGGACGAAGTTATCGCTAGTGAAATGATGTGGTACTGGATACACGAGTGCTGTTCAGGTCATTTTTTTCGAAAGTGTATGCTAGACATACTTATTTAAAGCAACCGAAATATAAAGAAACAGTTCATAAAATGTCTATCGTAAACCAAGCAAACATTTCCTTTATCGTCAGACAATCTGGTAATGAAGAAATTATGTACAAAAATTATCTTTTCGGAAAAAAACGTACAAAAACCATAACCGACTTCAATCTGCTTGTATTTCTTGTATTTTCTTCTTTCTTTATATAATAAAATTTGATTTCTATAATGCGACTATTTTTATTGATATACTTCAATTCTATTTTGCGGACAGTCTATTAAATGCGGTCATTTTTTCTCTTACCCCCCGTTTCTTGATTGCGGACTTTTTACTCTAATTGACGAAAAAATTTGACCGCAATTAAGCAGTAGCCGCTTATATATGTACAGTCTGGGAAAAAAGTTTAAGCGAATTTGATTTTTTCGCAT